TATTCCCAGCATGGTCTGACTTCCGTGTAACGAAAACCTCTCTTTTTTTGTTGTGGCTATTTTTGAGTTCCCAAGGAAGCTCTGGTAGCATAGTGGCTAAGGCACTTGACTGCTAACCAGAAGGCTGGCGGTTCAAACCCACCAGCCACTCCTCGGAAGGAAGATGGGGCAATCTACTTCTGTAGTGATACTGCCTGGGAAACCCAAGGAGGGGTTGCTATGAGTCGGGTTTGACTCGACAGCACATAACAACAACAAGATAGCTTAAGACTGTATTCCTTGACTATTAGCTATTAACTCCTTAGCTCTTGTGGTCGACTAAAACCTCGTTTTTGCCCCACTTGAACTGCTCCATATTAGATCCCCAGCTCCACCCACCCACTCAGTGTTTGACCAGAGATTCTATTAATAATTGACTGTATTGTTTCAAGAAGCAGCATAAATATTTTGCCTCTTGGAATATGGCTGCATAAAATAGGTTTTCGTGGGTTTTGAGTTATCGCAGCTAGATGTTCTGCATTTGAATCAAATACATCACTGATACCAAAAGTTTTTGCACATTCCTCAAGCTTTCCAGGTACAGGTCCACATTCCCTTTTCCACAATTCCAAAATACGAAAATGGAAAGATTTTATTTTTAACTCATTTGGTGCAAAATTTGACCTGATGCTATTTATAGGCTATACTCATCCCAGGTAGTGTGAATATTCAGGCATTTCCCTGCAAAAATATTTGATTAAAGTTTCCTTCCCCAGCTGTCCCTGAGACTTCGTCATTAAATATTCTATATATTTATTGTATTAACTTTTTAAGACTAGAAAGAAAGAAAGAAAGAAAAACCAAATCTAATGCCAAGGGCAGCAGATAAGGGATTACTGTCCAAGTCCAGCTTAATGAAAAAAAAAAAAAAATCACAGATAATTTTGGTGCTGTGCATAGGCCACTTTTGATTCTAGAGTTCTATGTTAACATTGCACCTTGGCCAATCTAGATTGTGAGTAGCATCTTTCCAAAGATTCAGAAATGAGGCCACTAAGACTGCCCTATTTTTTCTAGGTTTAAGGAATATACTCAAGATCATACTGTCACCATATTGAAAACGTATTTGGCATTCCTATTTTAAGTGTGAAGATTCTTAACAACTTAGGAAATTAAACGGAAGGGTTTCCTTCTGTATTACACACCCATCGATCAGTACTTTGAGATAAAATGTTATCATCAGTTTTAATACATCTTCATGTTATAAAATAGAAAAAAAAGTTATCAAAACATTTTATTCAAGATTGCAACCTCTATAACTTATCTTTAAAAGTGTGAATGAGTTGAATTTTACATCTTCTTCCACAACTAAAATAACTAAGGAGACATTTTCCCTCACTTCTGTGTGGCCTCTAGTAAAGAATCCCTTTGTGCATTTAGAACATTCCACTGAGTCAGGGAGATTCTACTACAAAGATATTACATTTGTTTTATTTTATAAGGGAACAATATGAAGCAGACAATCTATTTCCTCTGTGGCTTTAAAAGAAACTGTCTTCTTGGCTGTGAAACAATGATAGCACCATCAACATCTTGAAGAGATATTGTGTGAGATAGAGATAATTCTTATAAGGTGCCAAAGCACAAAACAGGGTACTGGAAGAATAGCAGGTGTACAGATATCTTTGTGTATTTACCATCAACATATCCACCAGCAGCAAAGCAAAGCTTGTTTTCATTTAATCTTTTTTAGATTCTTAATGTCATGTAGTCAAAATGTAGGAGACAGAACTGGAATCTCCCTTCCATGAGGCATGAGTAGAAAATAAATGAAGACACTAAGGTGGGTGGTGTGAGCTTATGTAAGAGATGCTTTTGGCTGAGAAAGCAAGAAAGTGAACTTGGCTGTGGCATGTGGCAATTAAAATCACACAGGCTGCATTATTGAGCAAGGATGAGGATTTCTTTTAACTCAGTTGAATGAAAATGCTGGTGTTTGAGTACCTTTCAGCAGCGAACACTACCGAATGTAGTATGTGAGAGCAAGAGGAAGGATGAAAGGAATTACCACAGGCAGAACTGGAAATAAGTTTACCCTTTTAATTACGTTTCCATGCTGTGTGTGGCTTTGTCCCATTGTATAAGTAGATAAATATAGTCCCTAGTCCCTTCTATCTACTGTTTACATACTTTTAAGACAAGGCTCACGGCTTCTGTGTGCAGTATTTCCTCTGAAGAGAAACTGGGCAGTGCGTATTTCCAGTGACTTGTCTAAAGTTCTCTCGGCAATGGGATTTTGGCAGAACCAAGGGGCCCTTGTTCAGAGAAGCTACAGAGTGTCAGGGCTTCTTCTATTAAAGACACCAGTGTCAAGTCAATGAGTTTTACCTTAGGTTCAGTTAGCTCCATGTTTATCAAAGGAAAAAGGCACACAGTATTAAATACATATTTTCTCCCTTTGCTCCTACACTCTCCTGTGGGAAACCAAACCAGTGGAATGGCTTTCAACTCTGAGTGTGCATTATATTCACCTGGGAAGCTTTTAAAACACACACACACACACACACACTTATTATACAACAATGGAAAACAACAGAATCAGAATTTTGGGGGCAGTTTAAGTGGGCACTGCTATATTTTAAAGTTCTGAATAAGAACACCTGCTTAGACCCTCACTTTGCCCGTCAGTCAGCAGGAGGCAAGAATCCTGCTGCTACAGGAAGAGACCGTATGTGCTGTTCCTTAAGTATTAAGTACCTTAGGTATTAAGTACCATGGGGGCTCTGGAACATTCTGAGAATGGGCAATGAGACCTGAGCCAAAAATGGAGACACATGAGGGTGAGGATCACACACTTGATGAGATGGGAAATCAAATGTAAAATGTTAAAAGGAAGCAGAGTTGAGAGGATAAAACAAAATGAAAATGAATTTAGTAATTTTTCTAGAGACTTCTTTGTGCCTTAGAGAGTCTTTGCACTTCCTCCCCAGGTAATAAACTATATAGTATATGTCATTCTGAAAGAAAATGTCAATGGAGGAGGTTTATGTAGAAAACATGCCACTGTGAATCAAGAATACCAGGAGTATAGACATTATATGATTATAATAGTCTGTCTTTGTGAACATGGCACTTGTGAATTGAGAATTTTAAAACATATTAGAAAGGACATTAAAAAAAAATCACACAGGAAAATAAGTTAAAATTTAGAGAAAAGTGGAATGTTGTATCCTTTCTCCTTGACAACAAGGCCTAGACAACACATACGAAAATGTAATGTTCATGGTGCCTGTTCAGGCTACCTGAAAACAAACTCTATTTGCCTCTATGAAGGGATGTTCAAGTCTCTAGGCCATCAACTCCTCAGTTCTCTATCTAAAAGTGGGCAAAGGGTAGAGGTAGAATTTGTACATGTTTTTAAAACTATTTAACTATAAAGAATCACCTCTCATTTTCTCCCCAGTTGGTACCAATTTTTACATTGAAGACTGTTGGAAATGGTAAACACAAGTAAAAATTATGAAATATTATCAGCCAGGTATATTAAAATAAAATCAAAAAATAGAAATATTAGGTATGTACATGACAGCATAAGTGAATGGGATACAGCATTTTCTATTCCAAGCTTACAGTAGAAAAATTTAGTAAACAAAACCTCTTGTCTCTTTTGCCACAGTGGCTCATTGGAGCCTTGGTCACTCATATTCCTTCATATCCTTGGCTATAAGTAGTCACACATATTATACAATTTAAAAAGATCACAGAATCACAAAAATAGCCCCAAATACAGCATTTTTACCTTCTAGCAATGTACTGTCATCAAGTTGGATCCAACCCATAGTGACCCGCCCCCCCCTTGGGTTTCCGAGGCAGTATCACTATGGAAGTACATTGCCCAACTTTCCTTCCAAGGAGTAGCTGGTGGGTTTGAACCGCCAGCCTTCTGGTTAGCAGTCAGATGCCTTAGGCACAACTCCACCAGAGCTCCCTTTACCTTCTACAGTACATCTAAAATTAATATTTGTTCATTAAAATAATTTTTAAATCATTTGAAGCAATAAAGAGAATCCTTATGTATCCCTTTTAGAAGGTCTTATAAGGTTCTGCAGAGATTAGAATCTTTCTGTTTTTCCAAACTACATTGTCAAAAAAAGTCTGTATATAGGGAAATAGGGAATCATGGAATTGAAAGGCTGGACTGCTAAAAACATTCCTTTTTAAGACAGAAGTTTCTGAGGCAAGATGTGGTGTCTTCTCCATCTCTTTGGAGGTCTTGCTGAGCCCTGCACAGTTGAAGGGATGTGCATCACCTCACACAATAGCTTTGCTATTCACAAATGATACTTCTACAGGAAGAAGTGGAAAGTGCCACTGCAGCTTCTAGTTTCAGGGGTCTGCACAGTCTCCATGGAAGGAAAATGATGAACAGTCTCAAATATCAGGAGGAAGGAAAAACACTGAACTCTGGGAAAGACATTTTAAGCTGCTGAGTTCACCTGCAAAATCTAACCTGTTGGATTAGTAAAAAAAAAAAAAATTCTTTTTTTTAAACAAAATAAGCCAAAGCAGCTAGAAATGACAAGTAAGTGCCATAATAAGCATCTGGTTATTATAAGGCTACAAATTAAGTATCATTTTGCTACTATTTGGGACTTATTGCAATGGTCTGTGAAATGTTGGGCCACATGTCCAATTGTAAACAGAAGTCCAGAGTGGGTACATTTTGGGAAGAACAGGTGTTCTCTTCTCAGAAGGCTGTACTGAGACTGGTCTAACAGAGCCAGATGACCAGCTGAGGAGGAGTCCGAGCTGTAAAGCAGTAGGCCTCAGTCTAAAAAATAATCCCTTTCCACACAGAGGGTGTTCTTCCTGAGTAACTTAGCCTCTGCTGTCAGGAACCAGGCACAGTCGATGGTCTGAGTACCTGAATAACTAGTGCAGCCAGTGTTTGTGATTTTTTTCTTTTGAAATGAGACAGGCAACACAGCTGTTCCTGCCCTGGACACAAGTGTCCCTGTGTGCTAAGGCTGCTGCTGATATTGCCCTTCTGTTGCAGTGTAGAAGTCATCCAGGACACTCTGTAAATAATCAAACGTGGGTCTCTCTTCTGCCTTCTCTTTCCAGCACATCTTCATGATGTCATAGAGCTCATCTGGGCAGTTCTCCATCCGGGGCATCCTGTAGCCCTGAGACAAGGCAGCCATCACATCAGCATTGGTCCTCCCTGTAGCAAACAAAACACATCATTTAGAAGCTAGACAGGAAGATCAAGCATTGTAGTGCTCTTTGCGTTACTGCGTTTTGCAGCCATTAATAAAGCAAGCTGTAGAGGATAAAGACATTTCTGTAAGCAACTAAATTTTACTACGGGAGGGGTTAAGACAACATTCAGTCAGCCAAAGAGAAAACAGGTAAATGTGGTTAGTACAAGACAAAGCACATTTCCTTTACTGGCAAAAGGTTACTGGACTTGACTAACCTTTTGAATTAACCACTTAAGCCCAAATCCTACCTTCCGTCTGAATTCCTTTTGCTATGTTTCTTTTAACATCTATCTGAAATGCATTTACCAAAATATCATTTTTTTAAATAAACTTTTTATTGTGGTATTTTTTTTTTAATTTGAACAATCTTCACATGTACCATTCATTGTCATTAAATATGTTCATCAAGTAGTTCAACTATCACCATTGACTATTCCTGAATTTTTCCATCACCCTTAAGAGAAACTCAGCGCCCTATAAGCAAAAAGTCATTTTCATATACATTATGTTGTTTTTGAACTCAGCTTTTCATTGTAAATTTAGTTAAAAATGTCAGTATCCTGAACTTAGCCAGACCAATTGCCAAAAATAATTCAAACTTCAAGGAATTACTCAGAAAGGAACAGTGGTTCTGGTAATCTGGTGGAAATCTGCCTGCAGTGGGAGTCACTGTCATCTAAGAGAAAGGATTATTCACCAGGTCCAAATTACAGCTCTCCAGTGGGGTGACTTCACATGCTCAAGATACTGTCTCAGTCTCAGTACCTGTCAGAGCAAAAGCTAAAATTTGCATATTCTCAACATCCTAGGAAGGAACCAGGGTGTTCCTTAGTTCTACTGAGCTCTGCAAGACGACTGAAAACATAAGGAGGCTTTCAGTGTGGTCAAATGTCTCAGGGTAGTTCAGAAACTGAGCTATGAATCTCTGATACCGTGAATAGCTTTAACCAAAGAACAAGATTATTTTAACATTAACATTTTCCTCCATTATTAAAATGAGATAGAGAAATGAGCACAGTTAGAGGCTATAGTAGAACATATCCACAATTGGATGTTTTGCACATTTTGCAGGGATGTGTGCTCCTTTGGAGAGGAGTAGTATTTTCAGGTAGAACATTTTCATGCAGAGTACATACAATATACTCTGCCATATGGGAAGAAATCTACTCACCACACTCAATTTCCTTTCTGTAACTACCTCCTTTCCATACCATACTAGAAAGGTTTTAAAAGATGTTGTTAAGTTGCTGTTGAGCTGGTGACCCCAAGCACAATGAAAGGAAACACTGCTCGGTCCATTGATTGACTGCAGATGAAACTTGCTGTGATCCAGAGTTTTCATGGTTGGTGTTTGAAAGTAGATCGCCAGGTCTTTCTAATGAGATTGTCTTAGTCCCAAAGCTCTGCTGATACATGTTCAGCATCATAGCTATATGCTAGCCTCTCTGAAAGACAGATGGAGGCTGATGAAAGACAGATGCACACATGAGCCACATGAGCCAGAAATCAAATCTGGGTTTCCTGAGTGGAAGGCGAGAATTCGACCACTGAATCACCAATGAATGCCGTCTTCTAAAAGGTAAGCTAACAGCTTTACGGGAAGTTGTTTTTCTTTTTTTAGTTTGACATAGGATCTTCTTTTGAATTTATTCTCTATCCAGTGTTTTTCAAATTGTGGATCACTTCCCAACTTGAGATCAACAAATTTATTTGTTTGGGCACTGCCAGTATCTTAAAAAATGAATTATAACAGAATAAAATAGACAATCTCACAATGTACTGTACAAAGTAAAAGTCAGAATGTTTTATGTTTTGTGTTGTTTTTCAATTGGAAATTGCTTTATTAGATACCAAAATCAAACCCATTCTCCTCTAGTCAATTTCAACTTATGTGTCAGAGTAAACTGTGCTCCATAGGGTTGCTTTTTTTATTTTTTAAAATTTTATTTATTTTATTGTTGTTGTTGAGAATATACACAGTAAAACACATACCAGTTCAACTCATTATGTTTTTGTGAAACGTTTGCTTTATATAAAAAATAGGTCCCTAAAGTTTGATATCCTGAGCCCTTAACTTACCTTTCTTATAAGGACAGGTAGACTACAGGGACTGGAGGGTTTTTCCAGACTGAAACTCCTGAAAGATAATGATTCTTTCTGTATTTCAAAGAGCCTTTGCTTTTGAAATAGCAAGATCCATGTGACCTTTATATCTTTCAGATCTCTTAAGAGTTACTTACATGATAAATTAATTTTGCTCAAGTCTACATCTGAAGCAACATCTTTAAATATTTACATAACTGGAATTTTCTAACTGGAATACTCCATTAGACTCTCATTGTTTGAAGCCAAGGGACAGATCTCTATCACTTTACTGCAGATTCTGGGCTCAATAACGTGATGTGCCTTCAGCACTGCTCTGACTTTTGTAACTGGGAAAGTTAGCTCATTTAGATATACTTCAGAAGGAGTATCTGCATTTATTTCTGCCAAGGACTGAGTGAAGCTCTGGGATTGGAGGACTAACATCCAGGATGATATAAAAAGCAACTGGATCTGAAAACTTGGTCAGGAATCTTTTCCACTTCCTTGCTAGAAAGTCCCCAGCTGCATAGAAGGTCAGAATATGCCCACAGAAGAGAAACTTTTCTTCTCATTGTAGACTGTTTCTTCTTCATTCCTGAGTATTCTTCAGAAAGTGAAGCACTCACTCCCTCACTGATGCAGACAAAGGCTTATCATACTCTATCTTGCCTGGGAATATGTCTTGATAAAAGCAGATAGAAGAAAGAATCTGAAGTCTCTTTTTTTTGTGTGTGCAAGTAAACCAACAAACAAAATAGAATTATTACATAACAAATATTATGGAAGAGAGAAGAAGGGAGAGACCTTAGCCAGCCCCAAAGATCACATCTGACATCTGGTAATTGGTCTGTTGCTTGGTTAAAGAAAGCAAAAACTCATTGACTAGTGGCCTCAATGGACAAGAAATTTTATATTCCACCATGCATTCTTTCAAAAAGCATTTATTTAGTACTTATTATGGGCTAGCAGGTAGCACTGAGCTCTGAGAGCTACAAAGATGGTCTTGTCCTCACATGGCACAAAAGTCCAATGGGGAAAAACCCACAACTTCAGAAGGATCAGGGATGGGGTAGATGGGATGCAGGATGTGATATCTGGTTGTTGTTGTTAGGTGCCTTTGAGACATCTCTGACTCATAGCAACCCCATGCACAGCAGAATGAAACACCACCCGGTCCTGCGAGAGCTCTGCGATCCTTGCTATACTTGAGCCCATCGCCACAGTCACTGTGTCAATCCATCTCATTGAGGGCCTTCCCTTCTTTCGTCAACCCTTCATCTTACCAAGGATGACATCCTTCTCCAGGGAATGGTCCCTTCTGATAACATGACCAAAGTAGATGAGATGAAGTCTGGCCATTCTCACTTCCAAGGAGCATTCGGCCTGCACTTCTTCCAGGACAGATTTGTTAGTTCTTTAAGCAGTTCAGTCTATGGTACTTTCAGCATTCTTCACCAGCACCACAACTCAAAAGCATCAATCCTTCTTCGGTCTTCCTTATTCATTGCCCAGCTCTCACACGCATATGAGGCAACTGAAAATATCATGGCTTGTGTCAGGTCCACCTTAGTCCTCAAGGAGACATATTTTCTCCTCAGCACTTGAAAGAGATCCTTTGCAGCTTACTAGCCCAGTGCTGTATGTTGCCTGATGTCCTGACTGCTGCTTCCATGGTATCTGACATCTGGAGTGGGTAGGAATTAGCTGAGACTTAAAGCTGGTTGGTGGGACTGTAAAATGATACAAGCCCTGTAGGAATTGGTATGGTGACTTCTTAAAAAGTTGGAAATAGAAATACCATTTGACCCAGCAATCCCATTACTAGGTATACATGCTAAAGAAATGAAAGCCAGGACACAAAGAGATAGATTGACACTCATGTTCATCACAGCACTATTCACAATAGCAAAGAGATGGAAACAACCTAAGTGCCCATCAACAGAGGAATGGATAACCAAACTACGGTACATACACATAATGCAATACTATGCAACACTAAAGAATAATTTAGAATCCATGAAACACCTCATAATATGGATGAACCTGGAAAACATGCTGATTGAAATAAGTCAATCACAGAAGGACAAATATTGTATAAGTCCACTATTGTAAAAATTCAAGGAATGATTTACATATGGAAGGAAAATTTCTTTGATGGTTATCAGGGATGGGAGGAAACAATGCTAGATAGGTTAAGAGACAAATATTGATTTGAGTGAAGGGAAAGGCAATAATAATAATAAAGTTGGTGAGGGTCCCTGGGTGGCACAAATGGTTAAGGCACTCAGCTAATAATGAAAGGTTGGAGGTTTGAGTCCACTCAGAGGTGCCCGGTGATCTACTTCTAAAAAATCAGCCATTGAAAACTCAGTGGAGCATAGTTTTACTCTAGGTTAAAAGTTGGTGAAGGAGAACAGGAAGGAGAAAAATGGGGTAAGCAGAGACTGGAAAAGGAATACGCTTTTTTTTTTTTTTTAAATGACAGTGGATGAGAGCCAATCAGCTCCATGAACTATAACAATATTTAAAGACACAGGGGTCCCATATGAGTATGGGAGGGAGGAAGTATCAGTTACTGTGAGGCCACAATCCCCAGCCCAATAATACTACTTCCAAAAGAAAAAAAAAAAAAAAAATCTGTTTTAGAGGAAATAAAACCAGAATGGTCCTTAGAAGTGAGGATAGCAAGACTTTGGCTTGTTTACTTTGGACATCAGGAAAGACCAATAGCTAAAAAGGATAGCATGGTCGGTAAAGTAGAGGGTCACTAAAAACAAGGGAAACCCTCTGTGAGAAGGATTGAAACTATAGCCAAATCAATGGACTCAAACATATCAAGGATCATGGAGATGGCACAGGACTGGACAATATTTTTTTCTGTTATCCATAAAGGCTGCTATGATTTTCAGCTAACTGGATGGCACCTAATAACAACTTATACATCACTTCAGATATCAGGGTTGATGAAATATTTTTATAAGAGTGCTAATTCATTACCTTCATTATCTAAAGCAAGAGTGTCAGTCAGAATATAACACATTGTCTGTCACAAAAAGGACTTCCTGGGTTAGTCAATCACTGTGTAGGCACTATCCAAAGCTTTTTTCCTCCTGCCCGGTTCCCTCTAGCCTCTGGCTTCTCCATGGCTCACTCTCCACACAGTAGCTAAAATGACTAGAAGCAGTGGACCACATCATGTCTTCCATGTCATCCAGCGTAAAATGCAAAGCTCTTACCATGGATGATAAGGCTCTACCCAATTCATTACACTATGGACCTCCTCACCATGATCAGCCCCTAATTTCTCATCCATAGCATGGACACTGTCTAGAGATTAAATGACTAGGCGAGTCATTCACTCATTCAACAGATACTCAGACCCAAACATCATGGTTCCCTCCTTGGGGACACTCACCCCCAGCAGCCCCAGGCTCACTCTTTCACAATGCTGGGCCTCTGCTACTGGGCCACTGCATGCAATAACAGCAACATGTCCCATCCCATGAGCATGCATCATCCCTAAACTGTGTCATGAACCCTCCATGGCACATTTCACTAAATGTGTCTGTAACTATTGTCCATCTTTCACTACTAGAATCTTAGCCTTTGAGGGCAGGGCCTTTGAGACTGTGATGTCCCCTGCATCTGAAGAGGACATGGCATGCTCAAATAGCCTTTTGAATGAGGGAATGATTTAAACATTTCATTTGAAATTCACCTTATCCACAGATTTCGTTAAAGTCAAACAGTAATAATGATATGAAAGCATTGAGAAAAATCTCTCTTCTTAAACACTCCAGAACAAACCCTGGAATAGTGAGAGGTGTGCAGAATAGGGTTAGGTGTGCTTCATGTGTCCAGAGTCTGGAAACAGGGAACAATCAAGTTGCTGACATCAATAAGCTAAAGGTTTGATAGCTCTTTCACTGGTAAAATCAGAGGCAGTTATATCTTGAAAAGGTAGAAATTCCACACACATTATACAAACTTCTGTTTCAAAACCAACTAAAAAATGATCACAAATTCTCAGTTATATTTCTGTTTCTCCACCATCAGGTGCCCTTCCTAAGAGGTGTGCCTGTGATGAATTCATTCTACTATCCTCAATACTAAGACAGTATCAGGTACATTCAAAGCATTAAAGAAGTGGCTGAATTAATCTGTGAGGAAAAAGAATATGTATTCAATAAAATAAGGTACAATGAACTGTATAGCATATTTCAGAATAATTTCCACTAAGAACAGCTAATATCAAGGACTTATTCTTATCTGTTGAAAAGAGGGGATTATTTTTTATACCTTCATGCAATTCAACTTGCTTTCTCATATATGCCTCTTGAATGGAAATAGGTAGTAATTGGTACCTGGGTAGGGAATTTTCCCATAGGTGACAATTTCATATAGGAGAATTCCAAAGGACCACACATCAGATTTAATAGTGAAACACCCAAAGTTGATGGCTTCTGGAGCTGTCCACTTAATAGGGAACTTAGCACCTAAACAAGAAGATAAAAAGATTCTTATTTGGCATTCTGAGATTAAACAAAAAAGTCACGCATGTGTAACCTGTAACCCTCATACTTTCCACTAAAACACAAAACACAGATAACTTTATTTATTTTGAATAGGTAACACATATATATAGTACAAAGTAGAGATGATACAAAATGTTATATAAAAAATATTTTTGCCTCCCTCCTGAGTCCTTTTTGTGTATTGCCTTCTTAAGAAGCAAAAAGCAAAGGTTCTTGGGTCTTCTCCCAAAGATATCACTGTTGTTGTTATGTGCCATCGAGTCGGACTTGACTCATAGCAATCCCTCCTTGGGTTGCCGAGGCAGCATCACTACGGAAGTACATTGCCCAACCTTCCTTCCGAGAAGATATCACTAGGCAATTTTAAGCACAAAAGAACATGAGGCAGAACATAAAGGAATTTATTCTTAGGTTGTACATTTGCCCCCAAACACCAGCTTCTAATGCATCTACTTTAGCATATAAATTTTTGCTACTATGTTTCTGTAGAATATAAATATATTTTTAATCTTCATATATTTATGGATAAATACCTTTAAGTTTGTACCCATAAGAATCTGAGATGTTACTTCCAAGTTTAGAAAATAATGTCCCATTCTTTCATTTGGTAGGAAAAATGTTAAACTTTTATGTATTGGGTAGAATGATGATCTGCCTAGAATACGCTTTTTTAGTGATAAAACTAAGCTTCTCATGAGGAGTGGGTGAGGCTGAAGGACACTTAGCTCTCTGCACTATAGTACATTTTCTCACAGGAAAATGACTTGTGTACTAGTTGCCGATGAGTCGACTTTGACCCATGGCTATCTCATGTGTGTCAGTGTAGAGCTGTGCTCCATAGGGTCTATAGTGGTTGATCTTCCAGAAGTAGGTCACTAGGCCTTTCTTCTGAGGTGTCTCCAGGTGGATTCCAACACATCTAACCCTTTCGGTTAGCAGCTCAACACGTTAACCATTTGTACCACCACTCAGGGACTTCCGATGAGTACTTTTCTTTTTTTTTTTTTTAATTGTGATTTGGGTAAAGATTTACAGAGAAAAGTCACTCTCCATACAGCAGTTCACATATACTTTGTCTCATGTCATTGACCACAGATTACCACAATGCAACAGCTCCCCTCCCATGTCCTCCCCATAGTTACCTCTTCCCAGTGTCCATCCCTCCATACACTCCTGCCCCCTGAGCTGTCTCCTTGTGCATAAGCTGCCTTCTTTCTCCCATGATTGTTCTCTCCAAGGAGTGTATCTACTTGAGGTAAATGTTCACCGATGAGTACTTTAGACTTGTCAAATACAGTAAAACTAGTCAATCAAATCACCGTGAGTGATGACTAACAACAGTCACTGATGAGCTTCACTAAAGGGATCCTCTAGTGGACTAAAGTTTAGCTTGTGTACTTTGGGGCTAGACTTCCCTGGTTTGATCCTTGGTTCTACCATTTACTTTCTGACCTTGAAAAGCTATTTAACCTCTCAGTTTCCTCATCTATATGTGAATAATAGTAATAATACCTTTCACCTAGGGATATTGTAAAGATACAGGAGAAATGAATGAAGAGTACTTAGAATTGTGTAAATGTAAATGCACTGTAAATGTTCAATACACTTTAGCTATCTTTTGTAATTCCTTCTTCTTGTCAAACTAGTCTCCTTTACCTGCCTTTCTGCTGTGATAACTACTAAACCCAGAGACAGAGCTATAAAAACCTCCTTTAAACAAACAAACAAACAAACAAAAAACCCACTTATGAGAACACGGGCTTGGCAAGAGGAAAATCAACTTAAAATATGATGGAGGCAGAGAAATTGTCAACAATTGGAAACAACATTGAATCTGTTTGTTACCTTCATAAGTTGTGCCAACATCCTCCAAAAGGCACCAGAAATAACCCATGTGACAGTTAAAAAAGAAAAATATTTGTAACAATTACTAGAAATATCAAGAAAATATTTGCTTCTTTCAGAAGAGGAAAAGCATTGCAAAGATATTGTCTCTTGACTCTGTGGTGGGTAAGGCCATCAAAACCCTTGGATCGTAATCACAGGAGAGGTCAGGGCAGCCAAGATAGGACCAAGGAGGCACTGTGCCTGGGTGGGGGATTCATGCTTCTGTGCGTGTCTGAGAAGGAGCCCTGTGGTGCAGTGGTTAAAGCACTCAGCTTCTAACTGAAAGGCCAGTAGTTTGAACCCATCAGCTACTCTATATGAGAGAGATGAGGCACTCTTGCTTCTGTAAAGATTAAGCCTTGGAAACCCTATCTACCTTGTCCTTATAGGGTGAATATGAGTTGGAATCAATTCGATGGCAGCAGGTTTGGTTTTCCTTTTTCTGGTTTTAAGCTTTATAAAAGCATCATGTAGAGTTAATCAAGAGTGTAATTTTGAAAACAATTTTATTACAGTAGTATAATAAACAGATGAATACAGTAGTTTTAATATTGTACCAAATAACTTTTCTTATGATGAACATTACATTGTAACTGCTTTGCCAAAAACAGACAAAAGTAAACAACAAAAAACTACAGTTGTCATTAGAGCATACCTTCCCGTGCCGTGTACTCATTGTCCTCAATCACGCGTGCAAGGCCAAAGTCAGCGATTTTGCACATCAAGGACTCTGATACCAGGACGTTGGCTGCTCGGAGGTCTCGGTGGATGTAGCTCTTCCTCTCAATGTATGCCATTCCTTCTGCAATCTGAACAGAGTAAGGTTCTCATTTTCATTTCCATGTTTAGGCTCTGAGATAGGGACAGCCAGGACAAATGAAACATGAGTACCTGAAATGCTTTTGCGTCTGTGGGTAAATTGCAAGTACCATTTAGAGTTCTTTCTAAAACAACTGAATTGAAATGTCCCCAATTCACCCAAAGGTGGTCATTCTTTTTCTTAATAGTAACACTTCTCAACATTTTCTAATGTGTGGAGAGTCTTTTTAAACCCTTACTAAGTTCCCACATGTGGAGAGACAGATGTCATAACCTCTAGGGAGAAAGTGACTTGCTAATACAAATAAATTATTGGGGTGTCCCCAAAGCAGGATGTCCAGGCTTAACAGGAGCACCTCTTGTCAGCTTATCAACAGTCATGGAAATGGTTTTCCATGTTAGTTGCACAATCCCTCTAGGATGATCTGAGAGGTTCTATCTTACCACAGATCATGGCAGCAAGAGAGAATCTGAGATTTAAACAAGAAATAAAATAGGGGAGATGAAAACTCACTGCTTAACAGAAAATGTGGTATCATGGAAATTAGGTTTTTAAAGAAAACATTACCAAATTATACATGTAAGGATCATAAAAAGAAAGAAAGAAGGGAGGGAGGGAGGGAGGGATGGAGGACAGAAAGAAAGAAAGAAAGAAAAAAAGATGTAGCTGGTGAGCAGTTAGATGGAAAAACTTCTAATTAGGATTATGTCATGTAGGAATGTGCCAGATTCTACTCTGAAATCCAGGTGGCTCACTTGGCGGGCCTTCAGCATATAACTTTCCCCACTCACCAGCAAAAGCCTCCCTGTTACCGCTCAATTCAAATCCCCCCCCCCAACATTAGGCAGGCTATGTGGCTTTGTCAGAAATTTGTAGTTGTTAGCTTGTATTGAGTTGGCCCCAGCTCATGATGATCCCATGCAGAAAGGTTGGGATCCACAGGGTTTCCACTGGCTGATTTTCAGAAGTAGATCACCAGGACTTTCCTCCTGGCCAATGGACCCCATGTACAGCCAACACCTGTCTGTCAGCAGAAGCTTGTGTGTTGCTATGCTGCTGAACAGGTTTCAGCAGAGCTTCCAGATTAAGACCAAGTGAAAGATTAGCTCATTGTTACTGGAAAGTCATGCCCTTGTCTCTGCCTGGAATGCCTTTCCTTCCCTCTTGGCCAATCCCTAAGTTTACCTTCCTGCCCCTGGAGCCTTCCTGAACTTCTCTAGAATTCCTCTTTAGTTACCCACAATGTCCAGTTTGTACAAAAATCATTTGCACCTACAGATAATAACTTTGTAATTACTTTTATGTTATTTGATGTATTTTTCTCATACTATAAACACCACCAGGTCAAAAGCCATGCCAATTTCTTTTCTACTCTCACTTGTATCTATTAGAACCTTTAATCATGTGACCCTGCCTCTTCTAGAGCCTAAGAAAGTACTTTGGAAAACGTGTTAGGTTTTCTACATTACCAGAACACTCTGTAATTGGCATATGGCTGCATCAATTTGGCAAATGCTATTTTTATAGCTATTGATTGTGTCTCGTAGTGAGTGCTATGTTTGCCAGTCAGCCTGTCAACTCACCTTGAGTGGGCATCAAGGAAAACTGTCTTGATTGAAGAGAATCATAAATTTAGGTACTTGTAAAGACCTTTACTGGAAAACTTTATGAATAGTAATTAAACATTGTCTGACACAGTGCAGAAAATGAGCCCCTCAGGTTGGAAGGCAGTTACAATATGACTTGGGGAGAGCTGCCTCCTCAAAGTAGAGTCAACCTTAATGATGTAGATGGAGTAAATCTAAGGAATTTCAGAAGTGGGCCAGGTGCTGGTGCTGAGCAGAGTGGAAATCAAAGAAAGATAGCATAAGAAGATCCAGGCTGATCTGAATCCACTGATCTCTTCTCCCAGAACCCACTGATGGCCTGAGCACTCAGGAGATGCACAACCCCTATCTGACTCTGAAACATGTATGAAGCAGGCTCCACAGCAAGTCATCAAAGGGTGGGCAGTGCCAGGGCTCACTGCAGGGCAGGGTACTTCTGGAGTGTGGGACTTTCTCTAGGAAAATTGCAGTCCAGCACCAGTGGGCAGATGGTGAGGGTGGTAGGAAGTGGTTAGAGGTCATTCTAGAGGAGGGGTCACCAAGAGGGGGAAAGACAGATGTGGGCAATGGTGATGGAGGCTGGGAGGCAGGAGCAGACCCTTTGCTGGGCTTTCCATAATCTGCCATGTCCTCAAATTCAATAAGACCCACAAGAAACAGTCAGTCACACACTGAAAATTTGAGAGTGAAGATCAGGCTGAGTATATGTGAAGGAATGAAAAGACGAGAAGTTAAATAAAATGGAGCTTAAAGTTTGGGTCTTTGGGGATGGAGCAACAAGGCTTGCTTAAATGGAACAACAGTGGTTGCTAGAGCCAACAGGAGATGGAAACTATGAAGCAGGGCTTCTGGCACTGTCTCCAGACTCCTTTTTTTCTGCTACTCATGTGAGTTCTACCATTTCCAATTCTTGAGTAACAGGTAAAAACTAGCCAGCTGTTGTTAATTCCAACCCCATGTGTGTCAGAGTGGAACTGTGTTTCACAGGGTTTCCAATGGCTGAGTTTTCAGAAGTACATATCACCAGGTCTTTCTTTTCAGGTTCCTCTGGGTGAAACTGAACTTCCAACCTTGGAATTAGCAGCCAAGTGCATTAACCATTTGTACTACCCAGAGTAACAATATATACAAACTACTTTAGTATGGTAGTTCAGGTTGTACGTTAACTTGGCTGGGCCTAATTTTGAGTGGCTGGGCATCTGGATGTAGTCATTCCCGTGGTGATATTGGTAATTAACTCCATGGTGGAATCTACTGGAGCAGCTGAGTAGCTGCTTTAGGGATGTGGGCTGTTTCCAGTGTATAACAAGAAGCTTTGAGGAAGGTCTCCAGCATTTGGAATGCTTGAAGCCTGCATGTATCCAAGTCATTGCTCAGCAGCCTGCCATGCCCTGCCAATCTTGGGACTTGAATTAGTGGCCTGCTGTGTTGTTTGGTAATATTGGGACTGTGCCTTTTTTACTTGTTGACCTTGGGTTTGTCAGCCTCAGCAGCCAGCAGCTGCCTGAGTGAAGAAAGCCTCCAGCTTCAGTAGGCTGGGAGTAAGAGGAAGAGCTGAAGCCCAAAGTCGAGGGGCTTTCACCCAGCCCCTAAAGCCTGGCCCTTTGAACTTAGATGTCTAGCCTCCAAAACTTAAGAGAATAAAACTCCTGTTTGTTAAAGCCATCCCTTTTGTGGCATATTCCTGTCAGAGCAGCACTAGGTAACCAAAACAAGTAGAAACCTGGAAAACAAACAAATAAAATCAGAGTTGGCTGAAATCTGAACTAAGGTCTGAAATGACAAGTTACTGGGTCTTTTTCCATGCCCAGGCAGCCCTGCTGGACCCTCTCCTCTGGCTGCTGGTTGGACCCACACAAGTGAGCACTTGCTGCACTGACAGCCTCAAAGACATGGAGACAAGTGAAGACTATGTCATTCTCTTTCTTTGTAAGTGATTGTGATGATCTGTTGATGAAGAAAAGCTTTCTGTGAACTTGTTGGCAAGGGTTTTATCACGCCTACTCAAGTTCTGCATTTACATAAAGCTAAATGTATTTTTGAAATGGTTCACTGAAATAATAGCAGACTTGCAGCAAGCCTAGTTTATCTTGGCTTTCTTGTCTGTGTCAGCATGTTTTAAGGAGCTCAGACTCCAAAAAACAATAATCGCGTTAACCAAGACTACTATTTGAAACAATGGTATTAGCCAAATTGGAAAAAAATATATAAAAATAAGATATGGAAACAAATGACAAGCTTTCAGATGTGACGTGTTTTTAAGGTCATAAAAGATCACGAGTCTTGTATATGAAAGTAGTCCATTTTCTTTATTATTTCCCAGATCTGTGTATCATTCATTCTTGGTTTCTTTTTAAAATCTCTTAATCTTTTTTTCTTTTTTGGTTGTTGTATATGCTTTGGCTAAAGTAAATCCTGCTCTATTTCACCACATCAGGAAGAAATTGGAGACTATTTTGGCAATGGAATGGAGGATCAACCTTCTTCCATGGAATACCCTCCTTGTCCCCAGGAACATTTTAGCAAAGCTATTGTCAGCACTCTGTAACAGCCATCACATAAATACATCAAACCAGCCTTGGCTGTCCAGTCCGCCTCACACTTTCAATACTCCATTAGGTGGAAGGCTGACTTGTAAGATAGTTACATCAGAGGCAACTAAGGTAAGGAAAGGATCTGTTTGATTCAGAGACTGTTTTTCTTTTTTTCTGTTTTGTGCCTAAAGCTATTTTATTCTGATGATAATGACAGATAGTAATAATAACCACACTTCCCTCTCTCCACTAATTGAGAATATACTATATACCAGACACTGTTTTTCATTCTTTTCACCCAGTTCATGTTTCATCTTAATAACAAGTCTATTAGGTAGTATTGATTTCCATTGTATAGATGCAAATTAGGCTCAGGGAAATTAAATAATCTGCTGACAGTGACATGTGAAGGAGAGCCCAAATGAAACCCAGATGCATCTGGGCACAGTCACCCACTACACTCCATAAAGTCATGTCAGCGAGAGTCATACAGGTGCTTTAGAAGCTCAATTTTCATCAAGAGAATACCTCTTGTTTTGGATGTTAGCTGCCATCAAGCTGGCCCCTGACGCACAGTGATCCCACACACAACAGAATCAGATTCTTGTGATCCACAGAGTTTTCATGGGCTGATTTTTTGGAAGTAGTTCACCAGGCCTTTCTTCCTAGTCTATGTTAGTCTAGAAGCTACACTGAAACATGTTCAGCATCATAACAACACCCAAGCCCCCACTGACAGATGAGTGGTGGTTGTGCATGAGGTACATAGGTCAATCAAGCCCATGAGAGGCGGGGTAAGATGGCGGACTAGGCAGAAGGATTGCACAGACCCTCTTCAACAAAGAAAA